TACACTCATTTTTTTTTTAACACTGGGTTCCCAGCTGGTAGTACTGTTTGGGAAGGCTGTAAAGCCTTTTGGAGGTGGAGACTTGCTGGAGGAAGTGAGTCAATGGGGGCAGGCAGGCCTTGAGGTTTTATAGCTTAGCCCATTTCTTGTATATTCTATGCTTCTTGATTGCTAAAACTATGTGATCAGATGCCTCTGGCACAGCTACATACAATATGCCTCACTAGCCCTGTAGACCCCATTCCTCACATGGACAGCACAACTGTGCCACAGTGATCGCTTCTGTGTTACAGGGTAGCCTCCTGCTTGATTTACACCTACCAATTGAAGTGCCCCAGGCCCAAGGAAGACCTTGATTTCTCTTCAAACTCTGTGTGTGTGTGTGTGTGTGTGTGTGTTTCCCAGAAGGGCCAGTACCGCAGGACACTTTTAAGCAATAAAGCCTTTGTCTCCACCTTGTGTGTCTTCATCACCATGATCCCAGGATACAGGCTACAGGCATTGTTCCTAGCACCTCTGGAGGCACTATATAAGATTAGAGGTTATTTTATTTGCCCCCTTTGTTACCAGTATGGTTTTGATGGTTATACAGAGCTCTAGACTCAAGCAGTTACTGTCATTCTAAGCACCCCCAGGCAAGGGCATTTGCATGTGAGGTGTTCTCTGTTTATCTGAAGTAAACCATCTTAATCAGTGCTCTATTGTTTCCAACTCCTAGGCTATGTTGGCTTGCTCTTCCCAAGGCAAGCGGCACTTCTGTTAACCCAATGTTGTGGTTTGACTATGAAATGTTCTTAACAGGCTTATGTGTTTGAGCACTTGATCCCCAGATGGTGGTGTTTTAGAAGGCTGTTGAAACATTAGGAAGTAGAGTCTTGTTGGAGGAGGTAGTTTTTGCAGCCTAGTCCCACTTCCTGTTCACACTGTCTCCTAGCTATGGATGCAACATCAGCTTCCTGCTCCTGTTGCGATGACTTCCCCACCATGACAGGCTGTTTCCCCCTTCCTTAAGTTATTCTGCCAAGTATTTAGTCATATTAATGAGACAAGTAACAAGTAACTAGAAGGTAGTTATAAATACCAGCTAAGGTCACCTGATCACTTATAGAAACAAGAATTGCAATTACAGTATTTCTGTATTTGTTAAGGATGTCTGTGCATATATTAATATATGTATTAAGCAGATATTTGCATTTTCTTTACTTTTTTGCAGTATCATGTCAGTTGAGATAATATCAGTAGTTGTGTTGTGAATCTATATTATCATATTTAAGTTAGGGGATACTAAAAGACTAGGCATTCCTCAAGGGACTTTGCCATCTATTCTGGAGTAAGGATAATGCATTTGCAATTTTATGAACAATGGTTTTATCATGTTAAGTGAAATTATGACCTTGTTATTATCTCCATTTGGAAATTAAGCATGACATAAAGAAATGTGATTGTTAAGTTGACAAGGGATGGACTTATGATGGTTAATATTTGTGGTCAACTTGATTGGGTCTGAGATCAACTAAAAAAAAAAAACTCATCTTTAAGTGGGTCTGTGAGGGTATTGCCTGAAAGGATTAACTGAGAATGGGAGACCCTCCCCCTTCTATAGGCAGTGCAGATGTAAAAAGGGTCTCAAGAAAAAGTGGGCTGCTTTTTCTTTTCTTCTTTTTTCAAGAAAGTGTTTTTCTGTTTAACAGTCTTGGCTGTCATAGAGCTCTCTTTGTACACCAGGCTGGCCTCAAACTCACTGATATTTACCTGTCTCTGCCTCCCAAGTGCTGGGATTAAAAGTATTTGTCACCTCTGCCTGGCAGGGCTGCTTTGCAAAGCCTTAATTTGCCTTATTGCCACCACTGCCCAGCTTCTTTCTTTCTTTCTTCCTTCCTTTCTTTCTTTCTTTCTTTCTTTCTTTCTTTTCTTTCTTTCTCTCTTTCTTTCTTTCTTTTTTATTTGCAATACTGTTTGGCCAATAGCTTAAGCATATTTTTTGAGAACTCATATCTTAAATTAACCCATCTCCACTAATCTGTGTATTGCCACGAGGTTGTGGTCTACCAGATTGTTCCGGCGTCTGTCTCCGGAGGGGCTACATGACCGCTATATTCTTTCTTGAGCCCAGTTATTTCCATATTTAAAGATCAAGAACAGAGGTATTCTTTCATGTTTCAGAGCATGACTAACAACTCCACTTGGCCTTCAAGATGTATGTCAAGAAGTATGATGCAGGATTTCCACAGCACTCATCATGGTCCAAGAAGCAGGGGTAAAACAGAAATGTGACCCATTTGGCAATTTTAGAGGCTCAAAGAACCATATTCAGCTCAGTAAGGAACAGTCCAAGTGGATGAGGAAGCAGGGAACTGGCTGGAACTAGATTTGAGTCAGAGCATAAGAGACCCCAATGAACCATTGGAAAACCTTTTCACTTTGTATATGATGTAACACAGGCCCAGGAAGATGATGTGTAGCTTCAGGTAACATTTAACCAAATGTTGGTCCTAGAATCTACCCCAGACCTCCAGGGATGAGTGAGTACCAAAGCAGGCAGGGGAAATTTAAAATAAAGGAAGGACCTATGATTCTTCTCTGAGAGTTTTGAATTAACAATTTAAAAAGTAGCACTAAAGTTCCATAAGAACCTCAGCAAAGTTCAGGGAAAACTGGACAGTGTGGGACAGACACACAGGAACAGGACTTCTGAGAACTGCTCCAATGTACAAGGCATCCATACTTGGGAGCTTCAGGGTACACAGGTGTTCTCAGGCTTCTTCTGTAACACAGCTTCAGTAAACAGACATTGCAGATATTAATGTAAAAATATATGAAAGCACATTATAAACAGTGTCAGACTGTTTATTACAATTCATGGAAAGGACAAGACACTAAGAATGTGACAGTTTCCTTCTTAACACCAGGGTCTTGTTCTGTGGTCGGCACAGTGAATGGTCAGCATTGTGTTGGCTCCCCCTCCTCACTGAGAGCATTGCTCAGGCAGCCCTGCAACACACAGCACAATGGCCAGCCTCAGCCATGTCTCTAATGTCAAGATGTTTTGCTTGAGTAGCCATGAGGTCTATAAGCATGAACTCAACCAACCCCGAATCAAAAATATTGAGAAAAATATTTTTAAGCCATATGACAATGCTAAGTAAGTTTTAAAAGGATATGACAACTATTTGTATATTGCACTCTGCATTGTAAGTAATCTAGAGGTGATTTATATATACACTGTACATTTATGAAAGAGATTTGATCACTTTTAGATTTTGGCATCTTGAAACCGATCTCCAAAGATACCTAGGAACAAATATAATGTTCTAGAAACTGGGAGGATACTAATTGTGAGGTAAGCAAAAACTCTAAATGCATTTTTCTTATTTAAGAAATTGAATTCTAAATGTAGACTCAGCTACTCAGGAAGCAGAGCCAAGAGGATCACAAATTCAAGACTAGCCCAGGCATCCCTAGGCTAGTGAGACCCTGTTTAAAAAATGTTTTAAAAATAAAAGTTGCAGGGTGTGGGGCTATAGCTCAGTGTTAGAGTACTTATCAGGTATACACAAGGTCCTAACTTCCGTCCCTATACCGCTAAAAGTAATTTTAAAGGCATATGCTTAATTTACATACAGATATACTGCTTCAAGATGAGTTTTGCTGTTTTGTGACTGTTGCGTGCTACATCAAATTTAATAGCTGAATGAGTGCAGAAGACAGATGAGGCTCACTGGCTCTTTCACCAGTAAGTGCTATGGCAAGAAGGCGCTCGACAAGGCACAACTCTATTCTCTCCATGGAGAGCGCTCTAGTGGATGTCATTATGGGCTCTGAATAAGGAGAGATGCCCAAGGACTTAACTGTGTGCGGAAATAAACTGATGAGTTCAGTTTATATAGCTATCCCCTAGTTGTGAAAGAAAATGTGGTCTTAACAACAACCATTTTGGGAGACTTTAACTACTGAAGTCTTGTTTTTCTATATTGAAAAAAAAAACACAGATTAGGATGCTAGCAAACAATCTTTTAGTAAATTCCTCAAGAAATGATAGGTATGAGAACTCCGCCCCCAAAAAAAAGAAAAGAAAAAAATTGAGCCAGACAGTGGTGGCGCATGCCTTTCAATCCAGCACTTGGGAGGCAGAGGCAGGTGAATTTCTGTGAGTTTGAGGGCAGCCTAGTCTACAGAGTGAGTTCCAGGACAGCAGAGCTGACACACAGAGAAATCCTGTCTTGAAAACACAAAAAAATAAATAAATAAAAGAATCGATAGGTTCACAACAAATCAATCCACTCATAGGATTTTTTACTTGATGAAATTATTTTCTGACCTTGTCAGGTGTGTTGGTACACACTTTTAACCCCAGCACTCAAGAGCCTAAGGCAGGATCAGGAGTCTAGGGTCTTCTTTTGCTACATAACAAGCTCAAAACCAGCCTGGGATACATGAGGAAGAAAATAAACAAAAGTAATGCTACTACAAAAAGTCTCTCCAACGGGCGATGGTGGCGCACGCCTTTAATCCCAGAACTCAGGAGGCAGAGGCAGGTGGATCTCTGTGAGTTCGAGACCAGCCTGGTCTACAGAGCTAGTTCCAGGACAGGCTCCAAAGCCACAGAGAAACCCTGTCTCAAAAAACCAAAAAAAA